AGTGCGGGACACCAGGTGGAGGAGACTGCGGTGGAGGAGAAGACCAGACCGCCGGACTGGCGTCAGGAGGAGGAAACGTGGGACCAAACGCTGGAGGGGACGGAGTGGAGGGAAGACCAAGGGCCCGAAGGCCACTCACGGGTGGGAACAACTGCCGCTCCAGAGGGAGCTGCTGTGGTCGCAGCTGCGGCGGCGGTGTCTGCTGCTGCTGCGGCTGCTGCTGCTGCCGCTGCTGCTGCTGCTGCTGCTGCTGCTGCTGCTGCTGCTGCTGCTGCTGCTGCTCCAGCAGGTCCAACTGCCGCAACTCCTGTCGCTCCCTCTCCAACAGCACCTGCTCCTCACGCTCACGCCGACGGGCCGCCTGGAGACGTGTGTCGTGGCGGTGGGGAGGCGGAGTGGACCCCGCAGAACCAGTGTCTCCTGCTCCAGTCTCCTCAGAACCAGCACCTCCAGTGCCAGCGCCTCCAGCACCAGCACCCCCAGAACCAGCACCTCCTGTGCCAGCACCTCCAGCTCCAGCATCCCCAGAGCTAGCGCCACCTGCGCCAGCACCTCTAGCTCCAGCACCCCCAGGACTAGCACCTCCAGTGCCAGGACCTCCAGCTCCAGCACCCCCAGGGCTAGCGCCACCTGCGCCAGCACCGCCAACTCCAGCACCCCTCAAACGGGCACCCCCGGACCGAGCACCGCCAGTGGCTGCACCTCCAGCTCCAAAACCAACCGAGTCCACAGTAGCCTGTCGCGGAAGTACCGAAGGCTGCTGAGGGGACTGTGAGGAGGACTGCGGGGAGGGAGCCGCTACCTGACGCGCGACCGAGGGTAGAGGGGTAGCGTGAGACACACCTGACGGGGCAGGACCAAGGGGGGGTGGGGGTACCGGAGGAGCGGGAGCAGGGGGAAGAGAGGGTGCGAGGAAAAGGGGCGGAAGGGGAACCGGGAGACCTCGACAGGGGTACATGGTGTAGTAGGACACTGACTCGTCGAACCGGACGTCACGGGAGTCTAGGAACTGGTGGAGGGGCGGGTGGTAAAAGGACCAGTCGGCCGAGGCTACCGGGAAACCAAGGAAGACACAGGGGACGGCGCGAGCCGAGAGCTTGTCCGCAGAGGTGTCGCGGACAAGCGCAAGGCAGCCCCAGACACGAAAAGCTGACCCAACACCAGGGGACCCGGTCCAAAGACTGGTCGGTGAAGCCTCTGGCCGCGAGACGCGCGGCTGGAGGTTCAGCTGGTGAGCGGCGTAGCGAACCGCGTAGGGCCACAGAAAATGGGGCGCACGGGCATGAATCATGGACGCGCGGGCGATGTCCATGACCAAGCCAATGCGGCGCTCAGCAACCCCATTCTGCTGTGGGGACTCCGGCAGCGTCCAGGACTGTACAATGCCCTGCTCGCCGCAGAATCCGGCAAGAATGCCTGAGCGAAACTCACCCCCACGGTCAGAGTGGAGACAGGAGACACGACGGCCACGAGTGCCCTCAGTGGCTAGAAGCCACCGGATCAGCGTAGAAGTCACCTCGGACTTCTTCGCGAGAGGAAACACCGTGGTGTACCTGGAGAAGTCGTCGACGACCACCAAAAAGTAGCGCTCCTTCTCAGGTCCCTGCGTAGGTGCAGGGCCCCAGACATCCAAGTGGAGTGTTTGGAAGGGAGCAGTGGCCGGACGAAGGGAGGAGGAGTGCGGAGTGGCACGAAGATGGCCGGCGACGCAAGGAGTGCACGGCGGCGCAGGCGAGGGAGGGAGCGACGGGAAGACGCGAGGGAGACCTGAGACAAGACGGTGACTAGCCATAGTGCGGAGGCGGGGGATCGACGCGTGGCCAAGACGGTGGTGCCACAAGATGGTCCGGTGGGTGAAAGACCGGCACGAGCAAGACGCAGCAACTAGACCGGACACAGCAACCTGACCGGACACAGCAACCGGTGGGGACGCAGTAACCTGACCGGACTCTGCTACCGGGGGGGACGAAGCAACCTGACCAGACGCAGCTACCTGCGGGGGCGGAGTGTGCAGGACGAAGAGACCTGAGTGGGGCTCTCTGGTGAACGTGGCAAGAACGACCCCGGTGGAAGAGTCCGTACAGATCGCAGTCCTCCCGTGCGCAGGAAAAGTGACTGTGATCCCCCGGTCCTGAAGGTATCCAACACCCACCAAGTTCCGAGAGAACGAGGGGATGTAGAGACCAGTGAGGAAACCAGAGGGGACAGCTGGACACGGGAGAGTGGTCGAGCTGCGAGCAACTGCTGGTCCTGAAGTAGGATCAGCCAGGGCAACTGGGACTGGAGCCGAAAGAGGTGTGACAGTAGTGTGGTCGCGAAAGAAGCACTGGGACGCGCCGGAGTCCAGCGTGAAGGAGAGCGACGCAACAGCAGTCGTCACGGCTGGGCTAGTAACTACACAAGCACCTACACTAAAAGCACAAGTACCTACACTAGCAACAGGCAAAGGTCCTAAGCTAGGTACACGCAAGCCAAGAGATCCGTACGTGACAGAATAGACAGCATCCATAGACATATCAAACACAGGGTAACCACTACGAAACAAACCGGGCCAGATCGGGGGAGCCGACTCAGGCCCAAAACGCTCACGGTATAGGTCGTGGCGACTGTAGCAGCGCGGTGCAGAGTGGTCAGGACGCCAGCAGGTAGTGCCAGCACCAGGGCCGGTCAGGATCCGGTACTGGCAGGGGCCGACGTCGCGGCCACCGCGACGAGCCCCCAAGCCGGCTGGGCCGCTGCTGCAGCCAACGCTACCCAAACCGCCAGGCCGCCACGGCTGCTGAGGGCGCCACAACTGCTGAGGGCAGAGCTGCTGCTGAGGGCGCCACTGCTGCTGCGGGTGCCACTGCTGAAACTGCCGCTGCTGCTGTCCCTGCTGCTGGAGAACCGAAGTGGACGCCATGATAAAGGCTAGGAGCGGCAGGAGCTAGGGACGGCCACGAGAACAACTAGGAGCGCGAGGTGAAACTAGGCGAGGAACGGCTGGAGCACGGAGCACACTGAGCTAGGAGCGCCAGGTGAAACTAGGCGAGGAACGACCGGTGCTGGAACGGCTGGAGCTGAAACGGCTGGAGCTAGAACGGCTGGAGCGAGAACGGCTGGAGCGAGAACGGCTGGAGCTAGGCACGGCTGGAGCTAGGAGTGGCTGGAGCTAGAACGGCTGGAGTGAGAACGGCTGGAGCTAGAGACTGTAAGTGCGGCTGTCGGCTGCCGCTAGTGGAGCCAGTGGCAGTGGAAAGTACGTGCGACAAAGGGGCTGCAGTACTGACGGCTGCGGGAGGTAGGGAACTGTGCAGGTCGTCCGGAAAGCAGGAACGCGGGCGACAGTTGTAGCCCCCCACCTTGAACCCCCCTTTTTTTTTTTTTTTTTTTAAGGGTTTAATCAATTAATTTTATTTTTCTGGCGCTAAAGCGCTGCGGGGCGCGCTGCCTGCAGGGTGTGCTGCCTGCAGGGCGCGCTACCCGCGGGGCGCGCTGCCTGCGGAGCGCGCTACCCGCGGGGCGCGCTACCCGCGCGGCGCGCTGCCTGCGGGGCGCGCTACCCGCGGGGCGCGCTCCCTGCGGGGCACGATTTCTGCGGGGGGCGCGCTACCTGCGGGGCGGGGCGACGCGGCGGGCTAGGGGCAGGGCGCTCGGGCGCGCACGGGCTAGGGGCAGTGCGCACAGGCGACGTTACGGGCTGGGGCAGGGCGCATGGGCGACGTGACGGGCTGGGGCAGGGCGCACGGGCTATGCGACGGGCTAGGGCAGGGCGCACGGGCTACGCGACGGGTTAGGGCAGGGCGCACGGGCGACGCGACGGGCTGGGGCAGGGGCCACGGGTTACGCGACGGGCTGGGGCGGAGGCGCGATACGGAGGGCGTGGAGGGCGCGTAGGGGAGGGCTAGGCGCGGAGGCGCGGATGGCGCGTTACGGAGGGCGCGGAGGGCGCGTTACGGAGGGCGCGGATGGCGCGGAGGGCGCGGAGGCCGCGTTACTCGAGGCTAGGGCGCGGAGGGCGCGGAGGCCGCGTTACTCGAGGCTAGGGCGCGGAGGGCGCTAGGGCGCGTGGAGGAGGGCGCGTAAGGCGCGGAGGCGCTCTAGAGCGCGGAGGGCGCAAGGGCGCGGAGGGTGCTAGGGCACGTGACGGAGGGCGCGTAAGGCGCAGAGACGCTTTAGGGCGTGGAGGGCGCGAGGTAGGCTAGGCTAGGCAAGGATTCTAAACCTACTCGTGATACCATCTCAGAAAGTGAATGCAACGGAATGTTTGACTTAGGAGAGCAAGGCATACAAATAGGAACCCTAAGAGTGTTGTACTCCTTAGAGTGCTACTCACTGCAGCCTACAACCAATAACAACATTTGACACATGTTGGGTTGAGAAAAGGCCCTTAGGATCGTTGCAAGGCTAAGATCCTGAGTAGAGATGTTGTAATTGCGGAAGCGTTCTTAATGAACTGTTGAACCAACTTGCACTAGTGTGTGAGAGCAAGAGATTAATTATAGCAAAGTAATACAAGGCTTTTATATATGATTACAAGGAATATGAAAGGATGCAACCAACTGTTTTACTGTTGCTGTTGCGGTTCGATACAGCGACGACTCGGGCAACTGCTCAGTACCGAGTCAGCTGTTTGTCCTTGCTGTCGCGCTGCCTTTATCAAGTCAAAGGTCGGCGACCTTTGACTTTCGCGTAACCTCCTGCTGTTACGTTTGTCAACCTCCTTGGTTGACTCGCTGTTGCTTCACTGTAAACTGCCTCGTTTGCAGTTCGTTGTTCCGACACATCAGAAGCGTTAAATCACTTGTTTCCAACATACGGTACGGTACTTTAGATAGCCAAAAATCAGTCTTCCACCCATACCAGACACACAGAACCAAACCACACCACAAAACCACCACTTTCGCCAAAAACAGTTCCCAATACTCACCATGCCCGCACATCCACTCCTCCCCTACCCCCCCCCCCCCCCCCCCCCCCCCCCCCCCCCCGATGACACGTCAGCAGTGGGCAGCACAGGGTTACCGAGGGCGTGGGGAGGCGGGCAAGGGCTGAATGAACTCATCGTAGCAGCCCTGCTCCCCATCCGCCTCGTAGCACACTCGGCACAGGTCAAAGTCCGGCAGGCTGAAGTTGACATGCAGGGACGGACGGAAAGGAAGGAGGGAGATGCACACAAGGCAAGGGGCACAAAGAGATGTCTTTTGAGACGACTCAAAAGTCGCCCATCCGCCTCGTAGCACGCTCGGCACAGGTCAAAGTCCGGCAGGCTGAGGTTGACATGCAGGGACGGACGGAAAGGAAGGAGGGAGACGCACACAAGGCAAGGGGCACAAAGAGGTGGCAGGCTGAAATTGCCACAAAATCCGGCAAGAAAGGAGGGAGATGCACACACGCGAAGGGGCACAACAAAGAGATGGCCAGGGCCGTGGAGGGAGGAGGAACCTCGGGAGGGAAAGGGGGGAGAGGTATGAATAGGAAGGAGACAGGTGAAGTGAGTATGGAGAGGTGAAGGTGGGGAAATTGAGGGGATATGGTGGCAAGGAATGCAGGTTGATTAGGAATGAAATGGAGGAACGGGGCGAGGGAAATGTAAAGGGTGAAGGTGAGGCGGTGGGGTGAGGTTGGTTGGCAAGAGAGAGAGAAGAGATGGGGATGCGAAGTGAGTTCAGACTGGACTGCATGGGGGGATAGGAGGAAAGGAGGGAGATTGGAAAGTGCAAGGAGGGTGGCATGAGTGGGTGGGTGATGAGAAGAAGATGCCAAGAGAGAACAGATACGAAGGAGTGGGGGGGAAAGGAGGAACGGGGAGCGGCGGGAAGGGAGCTAGGAGGGGAAATCAAATATGATGGTGAAAAGAGTGAGAACGGAAATGCACGTGGTAGGAGAGAAGGAGAGATTGAGTGAGTGAGTGAGTGAGCGAGTGAGTGAGTGAAAGAGAGTGAGAGTAAGAGAGCGAGTAAGCGAGCGAGGGAGCGAGTGAGCAAGCGAGTGAGAGAACGTACACGTTGGACTTGTACCGAGCCCCCACAATAGGGCACATACGGCACAGGTCACACTCAATCCCCTCATGCACCACCGCTGCCGCCGCCGCTGCCGCCGCCGCTGCAGCTGCAGCTACAAGGTACGCCTCATCCCCCTTCTCCTCAACATCTACCCCCTTCCCTTGCCCGCCCACAGGGACCGACAGCGGCACTCTCCCCCCTGCTGCTCCTCCTGCCAGTGCCCTGGAGTCACGCGGTGAGACAGCACGAGCAAACAAACCACCCCCACCAGCAGCAGCAGCAGTAGCAGCAGTGGCAGCAGTAGGGACTATCCCGCCTGCAGATACTATCCCTTCCAGTGCAGCATGCCCTGCTGCTGCTGCTGCTGCTGATCCTGCCACCCCCGGTATACCTGCTGCGGCTGCTGGAATTCCTCCTGCCGCTGCCACCGAAACTGGTCTCGTGGCGTGAGGGGAGAGGTTCGGGATCAACCCAGCCTTGGCCATGGCTCCAGAGACTCCGCCAATTACTGCTCCTGCAGGCACAAGCCCCGGGACTGGCGGAGTGACTGTAAGCCTACCGCCGCCGCCGCTGGTGCCGCTGATGCTGGTGGTGGTGGTGGTGGCATGGAGAGCGGCCAGTCCTGCTGCTGCTGATCCCACTCCTTGGGTTCCCACAATCGCCTTTCTTGGCGCAGCAGCAGGGTAAGCAGCAGCGGCGGCGGCGGCGGTAACAGGGAGCTTCGCACCTGCTGAAACGACTCCAGAAGATCCCAGAATCGGCAAACCACCAGCTGCAGCAGCAGCAGCAGAAACATCAGCAGCCGCATCGGCAGCATGGCCTGGAGCAAAGGAGATTTGGAGGAGGAGAGAGGAGCGGTTCTTAACCGCAGCAGCCACGACAGCGTTGATTTTCTCTAGAGTCACCCCCAGGAGAAGGTCCGTGGCCCCATGGTCTTCCCGAAGCTCCACACCCAACGCTGACTGCACATGGATATACACACGCTCTGCACCGATCCCCTCGATTCCCTCCGCCTTCCGCCCCTGCTTGCTCCACCTGCTCCTGCCGCCTCCCCTCGCTTTCTTCGTTGCTGCTTTCTTTCCGGAGATTTTTTTCCCGGTGGGTTCTCCGGGTGTTGCTGTCCCGTTCGGAATTGCACCCTCCGTTCCCTCAGGCGCCTTCTGCGTAGCTTCCTCCGCCTTTACTCCATCTGTTACTCCCCTCTCACCTTCCCCCCCTTCCGCCTGCCCTTCCCCCTCCGCGGCTTCCCTTCCGCTCACCTCCCCCACCCTCTCCCCCTCTCCCTCCTCCGCTCCTCCCTCGTCCTCCTCATCCTCCTCCTCATACTCTTCTTCCTCTACAGTCACACTCAATCTGAGCGGATTCAGCTTTTGCAGAAACAGCGCATCCTTTAAATCCCTATCGTCTATAAGATCAACCGAGTCGCCCTCCGAGTCGCGGTAAGTCACCATTAGCCGCTCCCGCACGCCGCCTAAACTGCTGCAGTTGCCGATGCCGAAAAGCTGCTTCAAGTGTTCATGGAGGGTGGAGATCGAGAGATCAGGCGTGCGACGCAGGGTCAGGCGGCGATTGCTGCCGCCACAAGTGGCCTGCAGGTGTGATGGCAACGGGCGAGGGGAAAGCAAAGCAGTGAATGATGGATGGGTTAACAGATGTGACTTATTGCGCAGAGTACACGCGCCGGGTAACGCAGCGAAGCTCTGCGGGCGCAGGAAACGTTCTCAAGTTAGCTGTCAGCCGCCAAATTCGCAATCTTCGCAACCTTCGCAGCGTTTGCAACGAGACCTTCGCAACATTCTACCACGAAGTCCAACGAAACGAGAGTACAGAACGACACGGCCCAAAGGCAGGCAAACATACGTTAAAAGGTAAAGTCACAGATTTTTGGAATCGGAATATGGACATTAGACCTGAGGTACTAAAGAGAAAGATACACAAAAAAAAACTGAAACGATCGATCTCCTCGTTTCCCCCTTTTCACTCGCTAATTTCGTAACTGAATTTAACGTCCGCCTCAGAAATAAAAAGGACATCGAAGATCACCGTCGTCAAAAATCTCTTCCCGCAGATGTCAACTAACTAAAGCCGCCCCGCCATTTGACTTTCTCCAACTAAATATTCCCCGTGCGAGGATCTGCGCTCCGACGGAGCGCCGAAATCTCGCGAGTCTTACGTAGACACGATTTCGCCTTTTACGAATCAGAGCTCACCTTTATAACGAGAATGTCCTCCACGCCGATTTCCATTTGAGAACACCCACGTGCACGAGATTAAAACACGGCTTGTGTATCCCGCCGAAATCGCGACGGGGTTCGACGTAAAGGGAGCTTCAACGTCCGTGCCGGCGCTGGTCGGGTTTACGGCCCTGATCTGGCTATGGCTGGCAGCAAGAGTTTCAGGTACGTGGGCAGGCAAGGGCGAGACATGCGGAGGGGTGGAGGTGGGAAGAAATGGCAGTTGAACAGAGCTGCAGGCGGAGTATGTCAGGCCATCTGCAATATGGAGTGGAGATGGGTTGAGAGGTGGGTTACAATTGAATACAAATAAAGCTAGCAGATGCACATATTATACATACATCAAAGCATGGCTTTTCAGAAAACCCTGCATATGTTCTAGAAAGTAATTTGTTGAATGTTTCTGCGTTTGGGTTTGTTTTCTTATTTGGATGAAATACAGTGTATAATGCATATATCTCAAGTCTTTGTTGTGAGTGCGTTTTGTATGTTCAGTATAAGTGGAACTACATATATTTGTACGGTATTGGTGTGATGAACCTTACTTCCTTCCTAGACTGTTGATATTTCCCTAGTCTCTGAGTCTACTCTTAAATACGTGTAACAATATGTCGAGCATGTTATATCGGGTATAGTAAGTAAAAATACCCGTCCCCGAAAGTGCCCTTCCCCGCCTACGAATGCTGCCCAAACTGCCCCCACTGGACCGTACGGCCAACGAAATTTGAACGTTTTGGAGGGGCAGTTGTTCTAACCCATATTGCACCTTTCAGAATTTTATCATACACTTCAATCACGGCCCAATCCCGGTACTTATAACAATTACGAAAACGTGCTAGGACAGCAGTGCTGAACGTAAAAGAGAGTGGACAGATTCTGAGAAAAGATGGAATTTTCAGTCTGAACGATGTAAAATATCCAGGTATGAAAAGGAAGATGAATCCACGTGCACTGACCTGAGAGGCCCAAGGTCTGCGACGGCGCGTCTCCAGGAAGTGGGCACTGCCACGCCAGGGCGTTACTCCATAAACTGAGGGGTTGTCCGAAGTGAAGGTCGACATTCGTCGACAAAACGGGACATCGGGACAACGTTGGGGATGTTGGCACATGTATGTATCAGCCCTCGGATCGAGGGTCCCGACCGTCAGGATTTGTCGACAGCCGTCGACATCCGTCGACATCAATCGAGCTTCCGTCGATATCCCACGTCGGATACGCCCTGAATGTATTGATGTTTGAAGCAAACAACATCGCCTTCACATCGCCTACATGCATCCACATGCACGAGTTACGACGAGTTTTGATGGCTGGACGTGAGATATAATGCACTTCACCTCTTGCTATAGAATATGCCGACGGAAGCTGTAGAACGAAAGGCTTTGTGGCTGGCGGGCTCATGCTAGAGTGGACTGACCAAAGCCGACGGATGCATTGCATCGTATGGACTCGCGGCGCGGCGGAAGTTTCGAGCTTGAAGCCCGCCGTTTGCTGGATATAGCATCTGAACGAGTGTAGCAGCACTTAGTATATTCTTACACATGCGTTACAGTGAACATTCCGAATTGGAGTGAGTGAGTGGTGAGTTCCATGGCGCTTAGGATCGCAGCGTGACTTGCGCTGCGGTGAGCGCTGGTTGGTCATGAGAGGGCGGCACAGGCTCAAAACGGGCGCTTCGGTCGGCAGCGATCGTGATGCCTCCGAATCGGGGGGCAGCCGCACAAAGCGCTCAGCTCTCTCGCCTTATTTTCTCGTTACAATCTCGTGCGTCAGCGTTCTCGTTATATTCGCGCTTGTGAGTTTGCAGGGCTCCATCCGCTCGCGCTACGGTTCCGGCGAATCCGGCCGTTTTTTGCGTGAAGCGAAACTTTTCCCGTCCAATGGGTCCACGCCACGCGTCATTAGCGACAAATCTGTGCAACGTGCGGAAGAAACGACGACAGCTGGCAAGCAGACAGGCTCGATCGAGCAATCACCACCCATCTATCCAGGATCAGGCGGGATTACGGCGACAGAAGGGGCCTCGGAACAGGCGGAAGGGGGGAGAAGACGCGAGCGAGCGGAGGGGGCGGAGCGGAAGGATGCGGAGAGGAGCGAGGAGCGCGGAAAGGGTGAGGAGCGAGTGGGGACGTCGGGTTCCCGATCAAATCAATATAGTGTAAGGACAGATGCTGACTTACCAGCGGCACTAGTACCGACAGCGTCAGGTTCCATATCCGCGTTACAGTCAGACTCGCCTTCCGCTTCGTTCCAGGCTTCCCCCGCGCAGGCGCGGGGAAGCCTCCGCCCGCAGTGGGACGTGCGCGCGGATCTGCGCGACGCTGCCGCGCTCTCCCGCGCGACGGCCGCGCAGCTGATGGCGGAGGCGGGGGAGACGGCGCGGGGGATAGACGAAGAGAGCGCCATGGACGAGCTCGAGGCGTGGCTGGGCGCGGGGACGGCGGAAGGGGTTGCGCGGGCGGCGGAAGAACACGCTTGCGGAGGAGGAGATGGGCGGACGGCGGAGCCGAGGGAGGGGGACGGGGGGAAGGCCGAGGGGGACGGGCGTGGAGAGGAGGGAGAAGATGGGGGGAAGGCGAGAGGGGGAGATGGGAAGGGGAAGGAGGGGGAGGGAGAGGAAGAGGGAGAGGTGGGGAAGAAGAGCGAGGGGGAGGGGGAAGCAAGTGCGGTAGGTTGTAAGAGGGAGAGGGATATTGACGTGGAGGGGGATGAGGAGATGGTGTGGGGGGGAGAAGGGGAGGTGCACACACAGCGGCATGTTAATGAGCGGTATGATAGTAGCTTCAAGGATGGCACGGGCGGTATCTGTAGGGTCGCCCAATGCTGGTCCCCTAGGGACGATCCGGACTTCATGCTTCTCCTTTCCAGCACTTTCTCTTTCTCCTCCTCTTCCTCTTCCTCTTCCTCCTCCTCCTCCTCCTCCTCCTCCTCCTCCTCCTCCTCCTCCTCCTCCTCCTCCTCCTCCTCCTCCCCCCTCTCCTCCTTTCCCCCCTCCCCATCCGCCCCACCCTTCACCCTCTCCTCGGCGCTCCCCCCACAAACCGGCCGGCCCACCTACACCCGCCGCCCGCTTTCGCGCACAATCAAATCCGATTCGCTTGTCCACGTGTATCTAGACGCGATGCGATACAAGGGGCCAGGGTTCGTTAATCTGGAAGTAGAGAAGGAGGAGGAGGAGGAAGAGGAGGAGGAGAGGCGGAAGAAGAGGAGGAGAAGGAGGAGGAGGAAGAGGAAGGAGCAGAGGAAGAGGAAGGAGGAGTTTAGAAGGAAGGAGGATGCTAGAAAGGTGCGGAGCGAGGGAGGAAATTGGGAGAGGGAGGAGGAGGGGGAGGATGGGAGGAAGAGAAAGGGTGGGCAGGAGGAGGAGGGAGAGGAAGGGGCAGATGTGTTGGGTATAACAGGCTGGGCTAGGAGGAGATTAACGGAGCTGAGCAAAGCAGTTCCCTCCAGCATCAGCATCAGCATCAGCAGCGGCGGCGGCGGCGGCGGCGGCAACAACAGCAGCAATTTTCCTGCCACAAACACAGACATTAGCAACAACGCCAACAACACCAGCAGCACCAGCAGCAGTACCACCACCACCACCACCACAACCGCCACCACCGCCGCCGCCAGCGCAAGCGCCAGCAGCATAAAGAGCAACTCTACTCCTTCCTCTCAACTCATCCCCCCGCCTCGCACCCTCCGCGGCCCCCCGTGCCCTCGCTTCGCATACACGTACCCGGGCATGCCGCACGTGGCGTCATGCTGGGTGGCAGGGGTGGTGGACGAGAGTGCAGTGGGTGCGTCCGTGCCAAGCACTTGTGAGAACCCCGCGGATAAGCGCTGCATGGGGAGTGAAGACAGGGCAGAGCTGCCCGTGTGGAGCGCACAGGTGAGGATAAAGGGGATGGAGGGGGGGGTGGCGTCATGCTGGGTGGAAGGGGTGGTGGACGAGAGTGCAGTGGGTGCATCCGTGCCCACCACATGTGAGAACCCCGCGGATAAGCGCTGCATGGGGAGTGAAGACAGGGCAGAGCTGCCCGTGTGGAGCGCACAGGTGAGGACATAGGGGATGGGGGAATGTTGTGGGGGGGGATGGCGTCATGACTCATGCTGGGTGGAAGGGGTGGTGGATGAGAGTGCTGTGGGTGCGTCCGTGCCCACCACATGTGAGAACCCCGCGGATAAGCGCTGCATGGGGAGTGAAGACAGGGCAGAGCTGCCCGTGTGGAGCGCACAGGTGAGGACATAGGGGATGGGGGAATGTTGTGGGGGGGGATGGCGTCATGACTCATGCTGGGTGGAAGGGGTGGTGGATGAGAGTGCTGTGGGTGCGTCCGTGCCCAGCACCTGCAGCAACCCCGCGGATAGGCGCTGCATGGGGAGCGAGGATACAGCGTCGCTCCCCGTGTGGAACGCACAGGTAAGGATATGATGACTCGGGGGGTGGGGGCGTCATGCTGAGTGGAAGGGGTGGTGGATGAGGGTGCAGTGGGTGCCTCCCCGTGCCCAGCACATGTGAAAACCCCACGGATAGGCGCTGCATGGGGAGTGAGGACACAGCCGCCCTGCCTGTGTGGAACGCACAGGTGAGGATGGAAGGGGAGGAAGGAGGGTGGCGTCATGCTGGGTGGAAGGGGTGGTGGATGAGATGCCTGCGTGGAGATGCCCGCGTGGAGATGCCCGCGTGGAGATGCCCGCGTGGAGATGCCCGCGTGGAGATGCCCGCGTGGAGATGCCCGCGTGGAGATGCCCGCGTGGATATGCCCGCGTGGAGATGCCCGCGTGGAGATGCCCGCGTGGAGATGCCCGCGTGGAGATGCCCGCGTGGAGATGCCCGCGTGGAGATGCCCGCGTGGAGATGCCCGCGTGGAGATGCCCGCGTGGAGATGCCCGCGTGGAGATGCCCGCGTGGAGATGCCCGCGTGGAGATGCCCGCGTGGAGATGCCCGCGTGGAGATGCCCGCGTGGAGATGCCCGCGTGGAGATGCCCGCATGGAGATGCCCGCGTGGAGATGCCCACGTGGAGATGCCCAGGTGAGGTTGGGAGGGAGAGGATGCACACGGTGGTGGAGGAGTGTTGGATGGGAGTGCAGTAGGTGCGTCCGTGCCCAGCACCTGCAGCAATTCTGTGGATAAGCGCTGCATGGGGAGTGAGGTGAGGACAGTGTGGAAATGCCCGTGTGGAGCGCACAGGTGAGATTGGATGAGGGGGGAATGGGGGGAGGGGGAGATTTCGGAGACGAGGGTGTAATGGGTATGTCCGTGCCCAGCACTTGTACGAGCCCCGCAGATAAGCGCTGTGTGGGGGACTTTTGAGGCGCCTCAAAAGTCGTCCGTGCCCAGCACCTGTACGAAACCGTGGATAAGCGCTGTGTGAGGGGTGAGAAAAGGACGGAGCTGCCTCTGTGGATGGGGGGTGGGGACTTGGAGGGGAGGGGCTGGGGCTGGGGGGGTGTAATGTTGAAATGGACACTATGTAAAGGGCACACGTTTTGAGACGTCTCATATCGGAACATTGCATTTCAATGCCCACGTTCCCTTCTCAGGCTGTCACGTGCTCAGAAAGAAGGTACCCATGCATGGTACTTCCCATTCTCCCATGATAACACCCATAGTGGAAAAGAAGAGCAAGTCAAAGAAAGGCAAGTGGGAATGTCTCCGTGCACACCTCACATTCCACCTCCAGAATCGAAGCTGGGCTGAACACAGGCAAGTGGAAATGTCAAAAATCCACCTCGAATCTCCACTCTCTTCTCCCCCTTCCTTCCCCCACCCCACCTCTTCCCCCCCAGCTGCTGCTGCTGCACGATGTGTACTTGGATGCACACGGGCGTGTGTTCAACGCCACACATGTATTTGACTACAATGCATGTGCTCACTTTGACAATTCCAAGTTCACCTACTATGGCACTCCCAACGGCTACCACGGCGGTGGCCCCAACACCAGCTCTACCGTCCTCACAGATAAGGCTGGTTCAAGCATAGAAGCTGCCGAGCATAGGGGAAATGCCAAGTTTGCTGATCGCGGGAGGGATGAAGATCACAAAAAACGGGGGGAGTTAGAGGAAGCAGCTGGGGAAGGTGGGGAGGAGGGTGGGGAGGAAGGTGGGGAGGAGGGTGGGGAAGAAGGTGGGGAGGAAGGTGGGAAGGAAGGTGGGGAGGAAGGTGGGAAGGAAGGTGGGGAGGAAGGTGGGAAGGAAGGTGGGGAGGAAGGTGGGGAGGAAGGTGGGGAGGCAGCTGATGCTGCTGCTGCTGCTGAAGCTGCTGCTGTTGTTGCGGGCGGTGCTGCTGCTGCTGGTGTTGCTGGTAATGGGAGGCGGAGAAGGGCAGCTCATGACAGCAGGCCTGGCGGGCGAGGCCTGCTGAGCTTTGAGTCGACTCAAAACACACCTGCTGCTGATGCTGCTGCTGCTGCTGCTGATGCTGCTGCTGCTGCTGCTGTTGCTGCTGCTGCTGCTGCTGTTGCGGGTAACGAGAGGCAGAGGAGGGTGGTACTTGACAGCAGGATTAGCGGGCGAGGCCTGCTGAGTGTGCTGTGGAAAAGGCCTGGCGGGGACCGTCATGGGGATCGAGGGATCCATGTGAGTGCTGCCGAGGGTGCAGAGAGTGATTCTGGTACTGAGGCAATGGCAGCAGTTGGTGCAGGGCCAGATGTGGCAAATGGGGCGGATGGGACAGATGGGGCAGATATAGAAGAAGTTGAAGAAACCACTGCAGAAGAAGCGGCAGCAGAAGGGAATGCGAGCGCACAGAGAGCACAGGAGCAGGAGGGACAGAGTGGACAGCAGAAACGGATTTCCAGACAGACAGATAGGAAACGAATGGGGGGAGGAGGAGAAAGCGTAAGTGGCAAGGTGAAGAAAGGAGAAAGACGGCGACGAGGGAAGAGACGGAGAAGAAGAAAAGGAACAAAAAGAAGAGCAAGTCAAGGAAAGGAAATTCCTCCTCCTCCAACAATGGTTACCCACTTTCCCGCCCTCATCTCTCTTGTGGACCCCTTTGGCTGTAGCAACCGTGCCGCCCTGCTTCACCTGCTCCCTGCCACGCTCTCTCTCTCCCCTCTCCTCGCCTCCTTCCCCCCCTCCTCCTCCCGCATTCCGGTTGCGTTCTCCGGCCCTCTTTCTGTTTCCAATGAGGGCGCTGCTGATGCTGGTGCGGTGGGGAGCGGTGGCAGCAATGACGGCAGCAGCAGTGACAGCAGCAGCAGCAGCAGCAGTAGCAGCAGTAGCAGCAATGGGGCCAGCGGCAGCAGCAGCAAGCAGCAGGAGAGTGTGGGCGTGAGTCAGTGGGAGCAGGCAGTGGCGATGGGCGCTGTGGCGTTCTTACAAGGGCACACAGAAAGCAGCGCAGCAGGAAGAGCAGGGGGAGCAGAGGAGCGTGGAGAGATGGCGCTTGGCCCTCCTGAGTCACACCAAAAAACAGAGGAGCAGATGGAAAGGGAGAGAAGTGCTGGGAGCACGGGAGAAGAAAGGAGGCTGGGGAGCATGGAGGTGCATGAGGTGCAGGAAGGAAGCCTGTTCTTTGCGGAAAGGCTCTTCCTGGTGCGTGTTGCTTTGCGTGTTGCTTTGCTCTCTCTCTCTCCCCCCTCTCCTCACAGCTCTTCCTGGTGCGTGTTGCTCTGAAGCTCTTCCTTCTCCTCACAGCGCTTGCTCATGCATGGCTTTGATGCTCCCTCTCCTGCTCCGTGCAACTCTTCCCCAGAGACCCAAGAGACATCGTCTTGCAACTCGTCCTGAGAGACCAGAGAGTCGTCTTGAACTTCTGTCATAACATGTCTCACAACATCCTCTTTTGAGAACGCGATTCTTTCTTACCCTTTGGCTTCTTTCGTCCCTCGCCTCTCGTCCCTCGCCCCTCGCCGCTCGCCCCTCGTCCCTCGCCCCTCAACCCTCTCCCCTCTTCCCTTTCCCCTCGCCCCTCGCCCCCCCTCCCCATGACAGCCACTGCACCAGCGCTGTGGGCGGCCCAGCAGGGCCATGTAGCACCGCTTACGCGCGTTGCAGTGGCTGCTGAATCACATTGTATTCTCAAAAGTGTCCTCCTTACCTTTTCCCACCCTCCACGGCCCACCCATCACAGCCACTGCAGCAGCGCTGTGGGCGGCCCAGCAGGGCCATGTGGCAGCACCTGCGCTCGCAGCATCTGCTGCCCAAGCACCCGCCGCCGCTCCTGCCACCACGTGCGTGCTCCTCCCCCCTCACCCTGCCCCGTTAAGAGGCCTTGCCTGAAAGGCCCATGAAGGCCCATGATGGCCCATGATGGCCCATGATGGCCCATGATGGCCCATGATGGCCCATGATGGCCCATGATGGCCCATGATGGCCCATGATGGCCCATGATGGCCCATGATGGCCCATGATGGCCCATGATGGCCCATGATGGCCCATGATGGCCCATGATGGCCCATGATGGCCCATGATGGCCCATGATGGCCCATGATGGCCCATGATGGCCCATGATGGTCCATGATGGCCCATGATGGCCCATGATGGCCCATGATGGCCCATGATGGTCCATGATGGTCCATGATGGTCCATGATGGTCCATGATGGTCCATGATGGTCCATGATGGTCCATGATGGTCCATGATGGTCCATGATGGTCCATGATGGTCCATGACGGCCCATTATGTCACAGAGCAACAGCCTGATTGCAAACTTGTCTGAAATTGTCCTTTAAGAATTTTAAAAAAACACATCTATCTGAGTACCTGCCCGCACTCCTGGAGTCTCGTGTGTGCTCTCCTCTCCCCGCCTTGCCTAGGGGTCTGTAGGCGTACTTGCCAACACTAATCACAGAGCATCACTCTGACTCTTCAGGCGAACACAGTGTGTGCCTTTCCCTCCACGTATCTCCCTCTCTCCTGTCCCCTCCTCTCTCCTCTCCCCTGTAATTCCACCCCCAGCAGACTCCACCATCCTCTCCCCTCCCCCCACGCACTCTCAAGACTTCTCTCCTGGAGCCGACTGGGTGGTAGTGGTGGGGGTGGATGCACCATGGGACATGAATGAAGTCTCACCTGAACATCCACCTGAAGAGCGGCAACAGCGGCGGCAACAGGAAGGGCAACAGGACCAGCAGCAGCCGCAGAGGCAGCAGCAGCAGCAGCAGCCACAGCAGCAGCAGGCGACTGAAAGTAACTCATTCAACGCCACCGCCCCCAAATCCATCCCTCGCCCGCTCGTGCACTCCTTGGAACTGCTGCAGCGCCTGCAGCAGTGGGCGGGGCAGGGGCGGGTGGTGGAGTACCGGCAAGGCAGCATGCGTGTGGGGGAGCGCAGGGCTCTGTTTGGAAGAGCTCGCCTGCTGGTGGCGGCGCATGGGTCTGTGCTGCCTGATATGGTCTTCATGCCACCCGGTGAGACTCTTGGCCTGCTTAGTCTGCTCTTCTGCTGGGTGCTGCTTGCTGGTATGTTACACTCTGCCGCTTTACTGCTGGTGGCGGCGCATGGGTCTGTGCTGCCTGATATGGTCTTCATGCCACCCTGTGAGACTCTTGGCCTGCTTAGTCTGCTCTTCTGCTGGGTGCTGCTTGCTGGTATGTTACACTCTGCCGCTTGACTGCTGCTGGCGGCTCATGGGACTGTGCTGCCTGATATGGTCTTCATGCCACCCGGTGAGACTCTCTGCTTGCTTAGGCTAGGCTTCGTGCTGTTGCGTGTTTCTTGCTGTGGCTCCGCTGCTGGTGGCTGCTCATGGGACTGTGCTGCCTGATATGGTCTTCATGCCCCCGGGTGAGGCTCTCTGCTTGCTTACGGTAGTCTTCTGTTTTGGTGGTGCTGTGCTGCTCCACTCTCCTGCTCACCTCCACTCCCTTCACCATGTCTCCAAATCTTCCACCTTACTCCACTCACCCTTCCCCCCCCACCCCGACCCCTCCTCCCCACGCTCCTCACCCCTCCCCTTCCAGTCACCACAGTCTAAGCGCCTCATAAGTTCCCTCTGCACTCCTCTTCCCCACGCTGCTCACCCCCCCACCCCCCAACCCCTCTTCTCCGCGCTCCTCCTCATCCCCATGCTCCTCTCCTCTCCTCACCCCTCCCCCTCCAGGAGCCACAGTCATTGAGCTCCGCGTAGCAAGCGAGGCAGACCCGACGTTCCACCTGCTAGCCGACGCGTGCCGCCTCAACTACCACCTCTTCCTGGCAGACTCCTCTTTCAGCCCCTACGAGCCTTCCCACCCACTCAGCCTTGCGAGACGAACGGCTTGGTTGCGTGAACCCCTCCTCCCCACACTCCTCACTCTCACCCTCACCCTCACCCTCCCCCCACCCTCCTCCCTCGCCTCCCTCCTCACCCTTCCCCTCCAGGCGCCACAGTCATCGAGTTGCGCGTATCAAGCGAGGGCGACCCGACGTTCCACCTGCTAGCCGACGCGTGCCGCCTCAACTACCACCTCTTCCTGGCAGACGCCTCTTTCAGCCCCTACGAGCCTTCCCACCCACTCAGCCTCGCCAGTCAAAGGGTGCAGTTGCACCAACCCCGGGCCCTGCTCAGGACGCTCAGAGCAGTGGTGGCGCGAATAAAGAGAGAATGAAAAGGGAATGGTGCAAATTTGAAGTGTGAATGAATGGAGGGGGAAGGTCAAGCTAGTTAGTTTAGTTTGTTGCGACAGGTTCGCTGTGTGTTGCCTTCTGACATGGGGTGCTGTGCAGAGAAACGCACTCGACGCAAGGTTCACATGGGGTCATTATACTGAATACAGCCGTGCACCCAGATATGGGTCGAAGCTGACGTGTATTTTTACACTCTGTTTTAACAGATTCGCGAGGCTATGTCTTGTCAAACCCTCAGAAGGGGAAACTCTGACCAAGAGTGATCTCAGATACTGTACAGTGCAAGAGGCAGCATCCATATTTCCTCAATGCAGAGTATGGGACACAAATGGGCTGCTGCTCCTCACATTTCCTACGTAACTGTGTCACCAAGTCCTTGCCTTTCGAACTGCCTGGCCGCGAATTGTTGTCGCTATTTGAGTGACCTGTTGCAGGAAATGTCCTATCTACTTGTCTGGAGATAAGGTACATAATGTTGGGCTGAGAAAAAGCCCTTAGGATCTTTGCAGGACTAAACTCAGGTAAGAATGATGTAATAGCGGAAGCGTTTTAATAATAAGTCTGTGAACCACCTTGCGCTGGTATGTGAGGGCAAAGTAGATTGATTAAAACAAAGAGATACAAGCTTTTATAAGAGTACAAGGGAATATGAAAGGTTATAGCTAATAACTGTTTTACTGTTTGCTGTTGCGGTTCGATACAGTGACGACTCGGGCAACTGCTCAGTAACGAGTCAGTTGTTTGTCCTTGCTGTCGCGCTGTACTGGTCAGGTCAAAGGTCGCTGACCTTTGACTTTCGCGTAACCTCCAGCAGTTGTTCAACCTCCGAGGGTTGACTCGCTGATGCTTCGCTGTGTTTCGCTTCGTTTACGACTTAGTGTTTCGACACGACAGAGGCGCTTAGATCACTTGTTTCCAACACATAAGACACCCCAGGCGATGGTCATGATGTAACACACTGAAATTATTTTAATGAATCAGAGGAATATTCCTACTATCTTTCCTGTAGCAACTCTGGGAAGAAAGCACACTGCAAAATCAGCATGAACCATCGGACAAAACCAGAGAGGGGTATACTATCACACCAGCTTGGTGCAACACACCGTGACCCTGCGTCTGGCCACAACCGCCACATCGTCCAGCCTCTTCCTTCTCCTCCCTTTCCCCACTCCCTCCCTCCCCTCCGTCCTCTTACCCATCCTAAACAATCTAAGAAATGGAGAGCATTGCAAAATTAGCATACACACTGCTGTACTGCAGCACAAGCCATGGTGGTATGCACTGCTATGGCCCAAGACCAGCTACGAAGCTCCCTCAAAAAACACCCCACGCTGCATATCGTCCCACATACGTATATCTCAAGAGTGGTTAGCAACGGAATGGTTGGAATAGAAACGAATGGGGTACAAATAAGCAACCCTAGAAACTGTACCCCCTAACAGTGCAACTCACTACAGCCTATCATATCAATGTTCAACATTTGACACACCCCCATAGGCTAAGTGAGGGGCATCAAAGCAAGCAAGGTAAACAAACGGTCACAAGACCAGTCAAAGCAAGAACCAAGACAAGCTCAGGGTGGATCTCAAGGACACCACACAAATTCCGAGCGCAAGCAAGCGGCCACAAGGCCAGTTCAAGAGTTCACTAGGATATAAATACAAGGCACATCAAGCAGAGCAAGCAACAGGACTACAGCAACCGAGGGCCTACCTCAACTAGCCCCAACTGCACACAGAACCTGTGGTGGTCACCAAGCGCCAAGGCCTTGGTGAAGACGTCTGCAGTGTTGGCCTCTGAGGCCACAAAGTCCAGGCGTGCCTGGCCGCGTCGCTGCAGCTCTCGCAGGAGGAAGTACCTCACGTCAATATGCTTCACTCTGCTCTCCAGTCGAGGCTCTCGACACAGGAGGATCATGGCCTTGTTGTCAGCGTACAAGGTCGGTGCAGAGCGAGGCCGCTCACCAAGGTTGGCGAGCAAGAAGGTCAACCAGCGAAGCTCCTGTGCCGCCATGGCACCCGCGTAGATCTCTGCCTCTGCACTGGAAGTAGCCACAGACGACGACCGTGTAGACCTCCACGACACAGCACCAGCTCCCAGACTGAAGCAGTAACCCTGAGTCGAGCGCTGGGTCTCCACGTCGTCAGCGTAGGAAGAGTCACAGTGACCAGTCAACGCCACTGGCCGAGTCCCTCCAAGCACAAGCCCCATGCCTGATGTAGTCGCCAGGTACTTCGCCACCCTCACAGCAGCTGTCCAGTGGACAGGGCGGTGTCTCCCAGTCGCAACAAAGCGAGAAAGGATACTGAGGGGAAAGGCGAGGTCCGGTCGAGTACAAGTCATCAGGTACATGAGGCAGCCCACCAGCTCTGCGTAGGGTCCACTGGACTCAAAGGGCTCGTCAGGAAAGGGGCCCGTGAGTCTGTGGTCAACAGCAAGAGGAGTGGGCTGAGTGGTGGAGAACTGGAAGTCGAACCGCCGAAGGACCTGCTGCACCATGTGTGACTGAGTCAGTGTGATGGTGCGAGCGGCTCTGTCCCGGGTGATCTGCAAGCCAAGGTAACGCTGCAGCTCACCCAGGTCAGTGCACTTGTGTCACTTCTGCAGTTCGGACTTCACCTGAGCCAGGGCTGCCCTGTCTGCTGTAGCAAACACCAAGTCGTCGACGTAGACAAGGATAAAGAAAGGAGTAGAACCCGCTCGAACAAACAGCGACGGGTCGGCGGAGGACGGGCTGAACCCAAGGTCACGAAGCGTGGAGCGAAGAGTGTCGTGCCACTCACGGGGCGACTAGCGGAGACCGTAGACTGGCCGTCTCAGGCTCCACTGGGTCCCAGGTGGGAAGGTGTCAGTGAAGCCAGGAGGGCGGCGCAGCCAGATCTCCTCGTGTAGTCTGCCCTGGAGGAACGCAGTGGAGAAGTCGAGAGAGTGCAGCTCGTAGTCTCGCTGCGCTGCTATGTGGAGTAACACCCGAAGAGTAGTCATCTTCGGGGTCGGGGCGAAGGTCTGGAAGAAATCAACTCCCTCACGCTGACTGAAGCCCCTAGCCACGTAGCGCGCCTTGAACACCGGCGGTGCTCCAGGCGGCCGCTTCACCTTGAAGAGCCACATGCCATCGACTACGTTCGCCCTGGGAGGCGGAACTGTGTCGACGTAGGTGCCTGTGGATCTCCAAGACGCCAACTCTGAGTCCATAGCCGCTTTCCACTGAGAGGCCCACGCCCCTGACACTGCCTCGCGGTAAGTGCGAGGAGTCGGTATGTCAAGGGCGTCGGGGTCTCCCTCAGGGGAGAGCAGCATGGCACACACAGAGGGAGAAGCGGCTGCCCAGTACTCCAGCTCAGACTCTCTGTCCTCTAGGACGTCACAGCCAAGGGCAAACCCACCCCCGACGGACAGAGGACGGTAGGGAGGAGCTGGCACCACACGGGTGGCGTAGTCAAGGCGGCTGGCGGCAGCAAACTCAGCGACAGCGGCAGTAAGAGCAGAGACCGACGACGGAGGGAAACGAGAGTCGGTGACAAGAGTGGCGAGGACACGTGCGGCAACAGGACGAACAGTGCGGTAGTAGTCAGTGATAGGAGTGGGGAGGGCTGGGAGAGAGGACGGAGGAGGAGACGGGAGAACGGACACAGGAGAAGGAGAACGACGACGAGACGTACAAAGGAGGGCAGTGTGGAGGTCAGTAACAGGGGACGAGTGACGAGCACGCGGAGTACAACGAGTGACCAAGTCGCGACGGACCGAAGGAGGAGGAGACTGGGGAGGAGGAGAAGTCCAGACCGCCGGACGGTCGTCAGGAGGAGGCAACGGAGGAACAAACACAGGAGGAGACTGGGAGCGGACAGGAGGAGAGGAGGAAAAACCAAGGGCCCGCAGGCCACTCACAGGTGGGAACAACCGCCGCTCCAGAGGAAGCTGCGGTGGCGGCTGCGGCTGCTGCTGCTGCGGCGGGGGCTGCGGCTGCGGCTGCTGCTGCTGCGGCTGCTGCTGCGGCTGCTGCTGCTGCTGCTGCTGCTGCTGCTGCTGCTGCTGCTGCTGCTGCTGCTGCTGCTGCTGCTGCTGCTGCTGCTGCTGCTGCCGCTGCTGCTCCAGAAGGTCCAGTACCCGCAGCTCCTGCCGCTCCCTCTCCAACCGCTCCTGCTCCTCACGCTCACGCCGGCGGGCAGCCTGGAGTCGTGTGTCGTGGCGGTGGGGAGGTGGAGTGGACTCCACAGAACCAGGGTCAGACTCCTCAGACTCAGCACCCCCAGAACCAGCACCTCCAGTGCCCGGACCTCCAACTCCAGCACCCCCAGAACTAGCACCGCCAGTGCCAGCACCTCCAGCTCCTGCACCCCCAGAACTAGCACCACCAGTGCCAGCACCTCCAGCTCCAGCACCCCCAGAACTAGCGCCACCTGCGCCAGCACCTCCAGCTCCAGCACCCCCAGAGCTAGCGCCACCTGCGCCAGCACCTCCAGCTCCAGCACCCCGCGACCGAGTACCCCCAGACCGAGCACCGCCAGTGGCTGCACCTCCAGCTCCAACACCAACCGAGTCCACAGTAACCTGTCGCGGAAGTGCCGAAGGCTGCTGAGGGGACTGTGAGGAGGACTGCGGGGAGGGAGACGCTACCTGACGCGCGACCGAGGGTAGAGGGGTAACGTGGGACACACCAGACGGGGCAGGACCAGGGGGGGGCGGGGGTACCGGAGGAGCGGGAGCAGGAGGAGGAGAGGGTGCGAGGAAAAGAGGGGGAGGGGGTACCGGGAGACCTCGACAGGGGTACTGGGTGTAGTAGGACACGGACTCGTCAAACCGGACGTCACGGGAGTCGAGGAACTGGTGGAGGGGAGGGTGGTAAAAGGACCAGTCGGCAGAGTCCACTGGGAAACCAAGGAAGACACAGGGGACGGCGCGTGCCGAGAGCTTGTCCGCGGAGGTGTCGCGAACAAGTGCAAGGCAGCCCCAGACTCGAAAGGCCGACCCGACACCAGGGGAACCAGTCCAAAGACGGGTCGGTGAAACCTCGGGCCGCGAGACACGCGGCTGGAGGTTCAGCTGGTGTGCGGCGTAGCGAACCGCGTGGGGCCACAGAAAATGGGGCGCACGGGCATGGATCATGGACGTGCGGGCGATGTCCATGACCAAGCCTATGCGGCGCTCAGCAACCCCATTCTGCTGTGGGGACTCTGGCAGCGTCCAGGACTGGGTGATGCCCTGTTCGCCGCAGAATCCGCCGAGAATGCCGGAGCGAAACTCGCCCCCACGGTCGGAGTGGAGACAACTGACTCGACGACCACGAGTGCCCTCAGTGGCTAGAAGCCACCTGATCAGCGTAGCAGTCACCTCGGACTTCTTCGCAAGAGGGAACACTGTGGTGTACCTGGAGAAGTCGTCGACGACCACCAGAAAGTAACGCTCCCTCCCAGACCCCTGCGTCGGGGCAGGGCCCCAGACGTCCAAGTGGAGAGTCTCGAAGGGAGCGGTGGCCGGACGAAGGGAGGAGGAGTGGGGAGTGGCGCGTAAGCGACCGGCGACGCACGGAGAGCAAGGAGGGGCAGGCGAGAGAGGGAGCGACGGGAAGGTGCGTGGGAGACCTGAGACAAGTCCCTGACTGAGCATGCCACGTAGGCGAGGGAGCGACGGGTGGCCAAGGCGGTGGTGCCACAGGACGGTGCAGTGGGTGAGAGAGCGACAGGAGCAAGACGCAGCGACTGGACTGGACACAGCGACCGGACCGGACACTACTACCTGGCTAGACACAGCAACTGGACTGGGGACCTGGGCCGGAGGTGACGCAACGACCTGAGGGGAGGACGCGACCGGGGAGCGCTCGGTGTGGAGGACGTAGAGACCGGAGCGGGGCTCCCTGGTGAACGTGGCCAGAACAGCACCTGTGGTAGCGTCTGTACAGACTGCAGTCCACCCACCCCCCACGAAGGTAACCGTGATCCCCCTGTCCTGGAGGTATCCAACACCCACCAAGTTCCGAGTGAACGAGGGGATGTGGAGGCCGCACAGGACACCAGAGGGGACCACAGGGCACGGGAGGGTGGTGGAGCTACGCGCAACGGCTGGTCCAGAGGTAGGATCAGCCAGAGCCACCGACACAGGTGTGAGGAGTGGCGTAAGGGTCGTGTGGTCGCGGAAGAAGCACTGAGACGCGCCCGAGTCCAGCGTGAACGACAGAGAGGCCTCAGCCGGAGGGTCACCAGACCCAGTCGCTATACAAGCACCTAGAGCAGCAACACAAGCACCTAAGCTAGACAGGCACAAGGCTACACTAGCAGGAGGCAAGCAGGCTAACCTACGAACACGCGAGCACACAGATCCATCAGCACTAAAGTCAGCATCAACATACAAAGCATGCTTACGCGCATCGTCCATGGACAGATCAAAGACATCAATCTTACGGGCTAACAGACGAGACCAGCGAGGCGTGACCGCCAGAGGGCCCCAACGAGCCCGGTAGAGGTCGTCGAGGCGGCGGAAGCACCGCGCGGCAGAGTGGTCGTCGCGACCACAGAGACAGGGGCTGCCCGGCCCGGTGACGCACCAGTGGGTGCAGGGGCCAGCGTCACGGCGAGGGGGGCGAGGGGCCCAGCTGGAAGAGCTGCTGCTGCGGCCGGTGCTCCCAGGGCCTCCCGGACCCCACTGCGGCGGGGGACCCCAGTGCTGCTGCGGACCCCACTGCAGCGGGGGCCCCCACTGCTGGAACTGCTGCGGTGCCTGCTGCTGCTGCTGTCCCAGCTGCTGCTGCTGTCCCTGCTGTGGCTGGTGCTGCTGTGGCTGCTGCTGCTGGGGGGCAACGCCCCCACCGGTCGGGCCACCACCTGTGGGTGGGCCTGTCTGTCCTGCACCTCCTCCAAGGCCCCCTCCCCCTGGTGCACCACCGCCGCCGCCGCCGCCGCCTCCGCCACCACTGCCGCTCCCACCTCCACCGCCACCTCCTCCGCCACCTCCACCGCCCCCACCTCCCCCCTTCCCGCCCTTCTTGCCACTCTTGCCCCGTTTCTGCCAGTCTGCGGCAGAAACGGCAGCAGTGTCCTCAGAGACCGACACAGCAGCAGAAGCGCGGGTAGCGGTGAAAGTGGGAAGGTGAGGGGCGGCACACCCCGCAAAGAGACGGGGGGCCACCGCATCAGTGGCGGAGGCAACGGTGAGGAGACTGCTCTCGATGGTCCCTAGAGCAGTCGCTAGGAGGTCGATAGTGAGCTCAGTGGGGTGCTTCTGAAGAAGCGCGTCGCGGGCAGTGGCAAGGCGGTCAGGGAGGCGGGTGACTAACCAGTGAACAGTGAGCCACATGGGGGGGGGAGCAACAAGAAGCTGTGCGTCGGTACAGGCAGCGCGGAAACCGGCGTCAAGCGAGCGGAGGTGAGTCACTAGGTCGGAAATAGTCGCAAACGAGCCTAGGTCGGGAAACACAAACGGCATGAGGAGGCGACTGAGGGAGGCAGAGGAGGGGGTGGAGTAGCGAGCAACAATAGCCTCCCAAACCCCGTGTGCAGTCTCCACCTGGTCAAAGTGGGCGGCCTCAGTCGGGGGGAGAAGCTCCGACAGAGTGAGAGCGGCGGCTGCGTCACGCGAGAGCCACACGTCCCTGGCCAGGACCCGACGGTCGTAGTCCGCCTGGGCCGTAGGGGTCGGCTCCGGGGCGGTCGGCAGGGCGGCGGGGGACGGGGGGGCCTGTAGGGCACCAGACGCGTGAGCCCACAGAGTGGCGCCGTCCTGCCGCTGGCTGGTGAGGAAGCGCGTGGTCTGGCGCTGCCAGGTGCTAAACGCTATCGGGCGTCCCTCCGCGTCGAAACGGAGGCGACGAGACTCCATGACTAATGCCATGCTAGAGGCGGCTGGAGCTCGGCAGAGGTTGAGCTAAGAACGAGGAGGAAACCTACGGAGCGCCAGGAAGGAGAACGGAGGAGTGAGAGGCTAGGAGCACTGAGTGACCTAGGCTAGACGTGAAACGGAGGATCTCCAGCTACAACGGCTAGGGGCGCGATACTAGCGGCTAAACGGCTCGAACCTAGGCGGGCGGCGAGAGAGAGCGGCTGCCAGCCGCTAGGTGATAGACCAGTGTCAGTAGAGCTGGGGAGGGCCCCGCGCACAAGGCGGTGGCGGGGCTAGGGCGCGGGCCAAGGGTGGGTAACAGGAAGAGAGGGGCGGGGGGGGGAGTTTGCGACGGTGGAAATGGGCGGGGAGGGCGGTTTTGACGGTGGGAATGAGCGGGTAGGGCGGTTTTGACGGTGGGAATGGGCGGGAGGGCGGTTTTGACGGTGGGAATGGGCGGGAGGGCGGTTTTGACGGTGGGAATGGGCGGGGAGGGCGGTTTGACGGTGGGAATACGGGCTAGGTCGAAGGCTGGGGCGACGGGCTAGGGTGTACGGGCCGCGCGAGGGCAACGGGCAGGGCGCACGGGCGCCGCGACGGGCTGGGGCAGAGCCTACGGGCGTCGTGACGGGCTGGGGCAGAGCCTACGGGCGTCGCGACGGGCTGGGGCAGAGCCTACGGGCGTCGCGACGGGCTGGGGCAGAGCCTACGGGCGTCGCGACGGGCTGGGGCAGAGCCTACGGGCGTCGCGACGGGCTGGGGCAGAGCCTACGGGCGTCGCGACGGGCTGGGGCAGAGCCTACGGGCGTCGCGACGGGCTGGGGCAGAGCCTACGGGCGTCGGGACGGGCTGGGACAGAGCCTACGGGCGTCGCGACGGGCTGGGGCAGAGCCTACGGGCGTCGCGACGGGCTGGGGCAGAGCCTACGGGCGTCGCGACGGGCTGGGGCAGAGCCTACGGGCGTCGCGCGGGCTAGGGGCAGGGCGCGGGCTAGGCGCGGAGGTTGGAGTGGCGCGGTTTAGGCGCGGAGGCACAATGGGTGCGGAGGTGCGAGCTAAGCGCGGAGGGCGCGGAGGGCGCGAGCTAGGCGCGGAGGGCGCGGAGGGTGAACACTAGGCTAGGAACGGGCTAGGAACGGTCCTGCTCTGATACCATCTCAAGAGAGGTTAGCAACGGAATGGTTGGAATAGAAACGAATGGAGTACAAATAAGCAACCCTAGAAACTGTACCCCCTAGAGTGCAACTCACTACAGCCTATCATATCAATGTTCAACATTTGACAGTATATCTACCAAGCACACCTCCCTTCAGTATGCCAAGCACTCAGACATCCAACGCTCCCTCACTGCGCCTTGCCCTTGCTGGCGCTGCCTGGCTTGATGGGCTTGAGGCGCTCCTTGAACATCTCCACCAACTCCTCCTGTGTGCGCTGCGGCTGCCCGATGTTCACATAGCTGAATACAGAGAGAGAAGCATAGTTCAGAGGGAGGGGGTGGGGTAGGGGGGTTAGGAGACTTCCGAGTCGTCTCATACGGCGCTCGTTGCATCTGCACCAGCTCCTCCTGTGTGCACTGCCGCTGCCCGATGTTCACATAGCTGCATGGGGGGAGGAGCGGGGAGAGACGGTGGTGGGAGGAGAGGAGTGAGCGGGGGAAAGGATGGCATGCGGAGCAAGGGGCAGGGCGCTGCTTGAATATCACAACCAGCTCCTCCTGTGTGCGCTTCAGCTGCCCGATGTTCATATAGCTGACCAGAGAGAGGAGCACAGTGGCGGAAGGAGGGGGTGGAACATGGGAAGAGGCGAGGGAGAGACGGCAGCGGGAGGGAGTGGAGTGAGCAGAGGAGCGGATGGTATGAGGAGGAAGAGATGGGGACGGATCAAACAGAAACGGAGGGACCCTGAGATGGGGCCATGTGCTTGTGAGGGAAGCGAAAGGAGAGGCTTGAGAATGGGAACGGGGGAAGCGAGGGGGGGAAGGAGGCTGAAAGAACAAGGGGAAGCGCATCGGATGCACGGCAGGGCAGGGCTTGGCGCGACAAGGGATGGAAAGGAACGGCATGACATGGCATGAATAATACACACATGGCACAGCGCAGCATGGCACGGCACAGCACAGCAAGGCACAGCACAGCACAGCACAGCACAGCACAGCACAGCACAGCAAGGCACGACGTACTAGGTGGCGAGTTTCTTGAGCTGGCCGGTGAAGACGAGGATGCCGACATCAATGAAGTGCAGCTCGCGGAACACAATGGCGTCCTCCCTCGCATGCACGTCCAGCGTCTCCATGAAGCGGTGCGGCAGGTCCAGCCTGCAGTGGTTCAAACAAGGGGCGGGAGAGAGGAGGAAGCAGGGGAGAGGGGGGGATGGAGGTGAGAAGGCGATGGAACACAATGGCGACCTCCCTCGCATGCACGTCCAGCGTCTCCATGAAACGATGCGGCAGGTCCAGCCTGCATGCCCAGGGTAAACGGCATGAACCAGGGGAGATGAGCGGATGGAGCATGAAACAAGAGTGGTGGAGACGGCGGGTACGGAGAGGGGGAGGGTTGAGAAGGTGGGGCAGAGAGATGGGCAGGGACGCGCAGAAAGTTACTGGGCTGGGCATGGACGTATGGCAGGGCATGTGAGGGTACGTGAGGGCACATGAGGTTCATGTCGGGGCATGTGAGGGCATGTGAGAGCATGTGAGAGCATGTGTGGGCATGTGAGGGCACATGAGGGCATGTGGGGGCACGTGAGAGCATCACAGAGCACAGAAGGCAAAACACGTATGGCAGGGTGCGGTAATGTATGGTGTGTGCGGGCATGTGAGGGGCATGCGTACCAGTGGATCTGCGAGTTGGCGTGGTGCAGAATGTGGTATCCGTCGTTGAAGGTCTTCTGGTTGTCCGGCGCGTTCATGCAGTTGTAGCTGCGGGTGGGGACACGCGCACACACACGAGCATGCACGACAGGCGTCAGTGGCACGAGTTGGATTGAGGGGAATCTTCGGTGGGTATGGCAGGGACGGCACAGGGAGTGGCACAGAGAAGCAGCAAGGTTGGCGCAGATGGCAGAGGAGGATGGAAGGACGGCGAACAACATGCAGCAGAAGGGAAGGAGGGAGGGAGAGAGGGAGTGGGAAGGGAGGGAGGGAGGGAGTGAGGGAGGGAGGGAGTGAGGGAAGGAGGGAGGAGAGAGAACGAGAGGGAGAAGAGGGGGAGGGAGGGAGTGCGGAGCGTACGTGAGGGCGTAGTTGCTGCGGGAGTTGTTGGGGTCGATGAAAATGTGCTGGCTGAAGTTGCCGAACATGATGAGGAACGACGTCAGGCAGAAGGGCATGAACACCACCTGTTGCCGCCCACGGCGCCGCGTAGTCAGGGAAAGGAAGGGGAGGACGGAAGAGTAGCAGATACAGGGGGGAAAGATGGAACGGGAGAGGGGCGAGGGGCGAGGGGCAAGGGGAGAGGAGAGAGATGAGTGCGGCATGGTGGGGTGGGACGCCTCAGCAAGATTTGGGTAAAGCTGAACAAGTGCATGGGAGTTGGGCAAACCGCCGATGCTACTTCCATTCCAAAGTAGGATCTCATGTACAGCCTTGTGAGGATCTTCCAGTGTGCCTCACATTCCCCCTCCGCTTTAAACCGTGCCCACTTCCTCCCGCTTTCCTCCCCGCGCGACTTGACTCACCCATAGCGTGGCAATAGGCGCGACGAAGAAGAGCAGGAGGAGGGAGGAGTAGAGGGAGATGGAGACGGCGCTCTTCACGCACGCGCCGTATCGCCGCGTGCGGAACGCGTACAGCGGCATCTCGAACGGCGACAGCAGCCAGAAGCGCACCCAGTACCTGCGCGGGCGGAGAGCACACGCGCGCGCGGGGGGGGATGCGAAACAGAGCGCGGGAACGGGGAAGAGGCGAGACAGCGGAGGGGCGGGGGGGGGGGGGGGTAAGGGAGAAAGATGAGCGAAGACTGAGGACGGAGAGAGAGGGGACGGGAGGGGGAGAGATGAGCTGAGGCACTGCCTGGGATGGGCAGCGTCAGTAAGAGAGCAGCGATCGGGGCGCAGCGGCCGGGGAGGAGGGAGCAAAGCACGGAATCGAGGAGGGAGCACAGCAGAGGTGGAAGGAGGCGGCACAGCAAATGTGGAAGGTGGCGGCAGAGAGCAGAGCAGGGAAGGGCGCTTACACGACGAAGTGGAGGAAGTTGTCGCGCTGGTAGGGCTCCGTGGACGAGAGATCGTTGGGGTACAGGTTGTTCTCCTGCACGCACAGCGGCGCAGCGGCACACAGGCGCGATCAGGCAAGGAGGGAATGACTTGAAAGGAGAGGAGTGAAGGGAGCAGCGTGGGGGGAACAGGGTGGGGGGAGCGGGGGGAGGGAAACAGGGGGTGGGAGAAGGGCGAAGGGAGCAGGAGGAGGGAAGCAGGATGGGGAGAGAAAATACTCACAACGTGGTGCATGATGCAGTGGTGCAGGCGATAGAAGCCCGGCGCAACGCCGAACAAAATCGACACGAACGTGGGCAGCACGTGCGACAGAAGCCTCCCCGCGAACGTCTTCTTGTAGATCTGCGGCGCGCAGCGAGGGAACAAAGAGGTTTGAAGAGCAGTGAGAGAAGCGCCGATCGAGAGAGAGAGGGACTCAACAAGAGGTTCACTCATGCAGGCCGGTACGTTTCAACCCGAGGGATCAAGCACAGGTTACTGCGACTGATTCGAAAAGGAGACGGAGAACGAAACAACGAGTGAGAGAAAATGATTTGCAGGCCGGGCGTGACGCTGCACGTCGCTCGATAGCTACAACGGCCACGTCGGCATCGAGTGCCACTTTTTGTCAAGATTCAGTCAGATCTGATCCTCCCGGATCGAACTATATCCGATTCTCTCTGCTCCTCTCTGTTCGAACTCACCCTTCCACGCATGCTCTCGATGGAACTCAGACCTAAAGATCCGTTTTCAAATGTGCCGCCGGAAAACCCTTTCAGATCCGCGAGAACTCAGCATTGCACCGCACGATGCAACGCGGGC